AGGAGGTGCTATTGCCACAAGAAAAGAAAAAGGTTTCAGTTTCGTTTTTGTATGTAGGTGGGTATCCTGTTTGTAATAATTGTTTGGATACACTATGTTTTTAATAGGCTAGTTGTGATAATTTCGTGCCAAATAAAAATGTCCATTTTCATATTTTATGTTCCATTTCCCCCGAAAAAACCTGGAAAAAAACTGTTTTTTTCCCCAAGATTCAAAATTTCCAGAAATTTTACATCTCTAGTCTGCACGGCAAAACACTCCCCCATCCCGTTGTGATGCAAACACAGTTCAAGAGGCCGGTCTGTCCCTCAACTCTCAACGCTTACGCCATGTTGGCAACACGGCCGGGGAAGCACCTTTCCTTCCGCGCTTCCACCAGGGAGGGGGACGCCCTTTACTCACGGAGAATCGCCAGATAAACGGACTACACTCTATAGCGTGCGCGCATGCTTAGCGTCATAAGTTTTAGCCGGCCCTTTCTGCCTGATACCTAAACTGGCCGACGGGAGTCCGGGCCGGAGCCGGGACTGTGACGTTCTTCGGAATCGCACTCTTCCTAATGGGGAGGGGAAGAAAAAGACTGAGATACGGGTGGGGTGGGGGGAGAAAGGAACTCTAACCCTTCACTGGCTATCCCTGCCGCGGCTCCAGAGGGCATATTGTAGGGGGGGGGCAGGTTCTCCTGAGGAGCGGGGCCCCCATCCTGCCCGAGAAGGAAGCAAGCGATGCAACCAGCAGCAGCAGAACAAAGAGTCCGTGGGAGTGGGAGGGAAGGCAGAGCCGCCCCCCCCGGCCCCCTTGCGAGGAGGCTTCCGGCCGGCAGCTCTTACCTGGGCAGCGTCGTGCTGGTCTTCTCCCAAGGCCTCCGGAAGGTGTCTACAAAGAAAACAGGGCCTCGTGAATGCCCACCTCCCCAATCCAGCCTCTTACAACTCACAGTATGGCGACCAGCACACAAACATCAGCAAGACTGTTTCTGGGGGGGCCAGGGAAGGTTCCGCTGCCTGGAAACTTCACCGCTGGGGTCCTATTCGGCCCCTTCCCGACTCCGGGGCTTTCAGTGCATACGGCCAAGGCAATGTACACATTCGTCCCAAATATACAGCTGGGCTCACTTGCTCGAGCCCTCTGGGGTAGGCATCGGTGCTACAGGGCTCCTCCCTCTCTCTGATGATGCAAGCCAGCCTGTGATCGGAGAGGACTGAGGGGGCATTTTGGTACCTTGCAGTTCTAGGATTCTCTCCAACCACGTGGACTAGAAACTTGCTTGTTTTTAAATTTGAAAGCGGGGGGGGGGGG